CATAAAAAAATTATCTTGATCGGACACGAATCTTGAGGCAAAAATCAAGTGGGAAAATTCAAAAATTAAATATGGGATCATCTAAACTCCGATTCAGCAAACTTACAGTTGAACTGAGCGTCTCAGAAATACGAACCCAACGACGCCAAATTCAACTCAATCCGGGCCCAAATGGGTTAGAATTGAAGACCCGAAGCACTATTGGAAGGTTCAAACCATAATTTGGATTACCAAACGATTTCAAAACATGACAAGCTTATTGTTGAATCGAACGGCTCAACGAGACAAATCCAACGAGCCCAAGATCTCTGAATTCTGATATAATTAAGACCTTCAAATGTCTGATGAATGATCCACGATCAAGGGATTCAATATTGACCGTCCATCCAAACCACTCCACATTTGCCCTTGATTCTCCCCCTATTTACGGGTCATAATACTATCAAAAAATATAAATAGCCCATTATTTATCTTAAGAGGGGACCGAAGGTGGGGGAATGAAGAAGAAGAGAAGGAGGGAAGAAGCTCATCCTCGACCACCGCCGGAATTCCACCCGACTTTCAAGTGACGCCGGAGTTCCGCCCAACTTTCAAGTGACGCCGGAGTTCCGCCTGACTTCCAAGTGACGTCAAAACTCCGCCCGATCTCTAAGTGATGCCGAAACTCCCCCCGTTCTCCAAGTGACGCCAGAATTATGTATGATCTCCAAGTGACTTTAGAGTTTTGCCCGAATACCATCTAACATTGGAGTTCTCCCCGGCCGCCGACCGACACCGTTTAATTTAAAAAAATTTGAATTTCCCGCTGCTCCCGCCCACTGCCCGCCGCCGGGTCAACCCGACCCGACCCGTTTATCAAACGGGTCGAATCTGCAAACCCAGACCCGACCCGTTTATAAACGGGTCGGGTCCAACCCAGATTTTTCGGGTTGGGTCCGGGTCGGGTTGTCGTGTCAAATATTGACACCCCTAGTTAGATTTCTACCCGACGTTGGACTTTCGCCGGACACTTATCCTATGCTAAATTTATGTCCATTGCTGGACTTCTTCCTGATGTCATCCTTCTGACCTTCATTGTCAAATAACGGTCCTTCCAACCACCATCGCCTACCGACTATGGTCCTTCCGACTTACATTGCCCATCAACTACTGTCCTTCTAACAAACAAACACATCAACAATAATTCTTTATATTCATACCATGCAATGTATTCTATATGATGTAAATCAAGCTAAGGCCTTCACCCAAGAGAGGGTCTCATTTGTAATCAACTACAAATACTAATGGATTCATTCATACTGGGCTAGGCCCCGTGGTTTTTCCCCCTTTTTAGTGATTTTCCACGTAAAAATTCTAGTGTCTCATATGAATGGAACCTCTCTTCTTATTTGATTGCATGTCGGATATTCGTACAAAGTTAAGACATTAGATTTTATATTTCTCTACCGCCGCGAATACTCCAGTACGCAATAATAAGTATAATTTAATTTAATTTTCAAATACGTTAAATAGACTTATTTTCTTGTACATAAACAACATCCACGAAATTGAATTTTTTTTTTAATTAAAATTGTTTAATATGAATGCAAAATAAAGTTAAATAGTTAAGTTTAATCTTGAAAGATTGTGTTGTTTGTGAAAAGGTGTGTCCAACTACCTATTTGTATTAGGTTTTTTTTTTTTTTTTTTTTTTTTTTTTTTTTTTTTTTAGATAGTAAAGTTGTAATCTATTAGACGTAACTTTGAAATCATAAATAAGAGTAAAGGAGGTGTTCAAAATTATTTCTCTCGTGTATCAACAATTATGAATAAAATGTGATCATATGGAGAGTAAATGTTCAGAAAAAATAGTCTCTAAACTTCTGAAGAGTTTTCCATCAAATTTTAAACATGTGGTGGTAGCTACTAAAGAATCCAAATGTCTTGTTGTGTATTCTTTTGACGAAATAATGAGTTCTTTAATGATTTATGAGGAGATAATAAATATAAGAGAAGCAAAGACAGTTGAGAAGATCACATTTCAATTGAAGAAAATTTTAGCTAGTAGTAGCAAAGAAAGAGTTCCAGGTAGAGGAGCAGGAAGTGCTTATAAAAGAAGAGATGGTCATGGTGCATTTCATGGAAGAGGAATCTATGGAGATAAAAGATGAAGTGGACGTCAAAAATAATATATTATTGCAAGAAGTTTTGTCATATTGAGGCAAATCGTTAGAATAAGCAAAGGAGCAGTGTGATTTTTATTCGAAGTTTAATTTGGACATTCAAAAGATAGATGTTGGTCCAAACAAATAGAAGCCAATATTATAGAGAATACAATAGATCAAAATTATTTATTTATGAAACATTTCCAATGTGATTGTGATAATTCATAAATTTAGTTCCTTGATAGTAGTTGTTTTATTCAAATGAATGGAATGAAGTATCTTTTCAAAAAAAATTGATATGTCAAAGAAATCAGAAGTCAAATTTGATGATAATAATACTGTTCAAGTTAAAGGTAAGGGATGCATTTCTTATGGGACAAATGATGACAAGATAAAACTATGACATGATATTTTATATGCTCATAAATTTGCACATAATTTATTAAGCATTATATAATTAATTAATAGTGGATATAAAATTGAATTTGATGACAAACTTGTACTGTTAAAGAAAAAAAAAACAAATTATAAGAATTCAGATGACATCAAATAAGATTTTTTGAGAGGAGCAGGACATTCTTATAGAAGAAGAGGTGCTTGTGGTGCATTTTGTGGAAGAGGAACCTACGGAGATAAAAAGATCAAGTGGAGGTAAAAAATGTTATTATTGTTGCAAGAAATTTTGTCATATTGAGACAAACAATTGGAACAAGTAAAGAAATCAAGAATGTAAAGAAAAAATACAACGTGTTTTTTGTAAGAAGTTTAAACATTAAAAAAATAAAAAATAAGCTAATGTTGTAGAGAATACAATATATCAAAATAATTTATTTAGACACATTTTCAATGTGATGATTGTGATAATATAGAAATTTTATTCTTTGATAGTGGTTGTTCTAATCTTACGGCTGGAATAAAGTCTCTTTTCAAAGAGATTAATATGTCAAAAAAACTAGAAATCAAATTTGGTGATAATAATAATGTTAAAGTTGAAGGCAAGGGAAGCATTAATGTTGGAACAAATGATGGCAAGATAAAATTATTACATGATGTTTTTAATGTTAAAACTTACATATGCTTTATTAAGCATTGAACAATTAATCGATAGTAGATATAAAATTGAACTTAATGAAAATGCTCTTAATATTAAAGACAAAAAAAGTAAGCACCAAATTACAAGAATATAAATGACATCAAATAAGTTTTTCACTTAATATTTCTACAGTTCAAGAGAACGTCTTTATGGTGAAGATGTTATATGATGCAAAGTTATGACATTTTTCAATATGGTCACTTGTATAGAGGTTTTGTTATAACCCTTAAATTTTAAAAGAGTTGTTTTGATCAGCAACAGAAAAAATATTTTATGAGTCATTATAAGTCTAAATCACAAATTATCTCTGTTCATAACATATATATTATTATGATTTAGTTTATTAAATTTTTTTGTAATATTTGGAGGCTGATAAAATTTCTTAAGAAAGTGACAATTATCGATACAAGTGAGACTTTTGGGACCTTTAGATGTTCATTTTTCAAACCGATTTTACCAGAGTATTGTGGACATACTAGTTAATTTATGAATATTTTTGAATCCTTGTATTTGAAGATATAAAACGATTTCATGCTAAAAGTTGAACAATTGCATTAATGATCAAAACATATTTTTAATATTTCATTGACTCATTATAAGCCTAAATCACAAATTATCTTCGTTCATAACATATATATTATTATGATTTAGTTTATTAAATTTTTTTGTAATATTTGGAGGCTGATAAAATTTCTTAAGAAAGTGACAATTATCGATACAAGTGAGACTTTTGGGACCGTTAGATGTTCATTTTACAAACCGATTTTACCAGAGTATTGTGGACATACTTAGTTAATTTATGAATATTTTTGAATCCTTGTATTTGAAGATATAAAACGATTTCATGCTAAAAGTTGAACAATTGCATTAATGATCAAAACATATTTTTAATATTTCATTAAAATCATAATGGCTTTTATTTAATTGTTATTTTCACTTATTTCATTTATTTTTCTCCAAGACAGAGACTAGGAATAAAAAATAAGATAAACCAATACAGTACATAAGCTAGTAAAGTAGTACAGTCATAAAACTAATAAATCAATACAGTTGTCAAATCAATAATATAGCCATCATATCATTACTATTAATATGTAAAATAATTAAATAAAATGGTAAAATTAAAGTATCGATAAAGACTACTGGAATTATATCAATACAGTAAAATTCTATAAAAATGTACACATGCTATACAATTATTCTATATTAGTATCATGCTCACATACTTAGTATATCACATGATCTATATTAGTGAATAAATAGTATCGAGCAGTATCAATGTCTATATATATAAATAATAGTAACAGTCAAGTGATAAAGAGTAGTAAGATAATGCAGTGATAATAAATCTATATTGTAACGATAAATTCGTTTAATAATAAAAATAATACATCTATAATATATATTTAAATAGTCACACTAAACAATTAAGAGATTTTGAATATCGCAAAATTTTTCAATAATAAGTAATCGATAGTTGATAATTATTGGTTCAGTAAATAGAGTTCTCACTATTTGTCTATTGATAAAATAATAATTTCTTATAACTCACAATCATTACATTGTTATATTAGTATAGGATAACACCCAATAATAATAATAATAATAATAATAATAAAAAGCATGCCAACCTATTATCCTATAAATATCAATCAGTCCATAACCAAGGTGTCAACTTAACTTTTACACGTAAGCGGATCCCATGAGAACCCTAGCAACTGATAATAATTTCTCTTGTCATTACATTAAAAGAACTCAATGCTTTACCATCGCTCTCTGGAGCTGTTTTCCTCCGGACTCAAACGACAAACCCTTCAAATCACCATTTGTCTGTAATCTCTGCTTGCCGTGGCAGAACCTTATCACAGAGAAGCGAGTTTTGGTGCTTCGGTTCAGCTCATCAAGAAGTGGAAATGGAGATGGCGCTTCAGCTTCAACGGCCACTTGGTTGCATAGGACCGATCATGGACTCCTCCCGTGTGAGGATCAGCCGGAACATTGGGGTCTTGAATGTATGGCGTCTTCCCCTCTCACGAGCTTACAATTTAGTTGTTGTCGATGATTTCGGTTTCACTCTTTGAGTTCAGCGGGTTTGCGCGGTGGCTTGTTTTTGTTCAAGAGTTCAATTTTATTATTGATTTGGTTTTTCCACTGGATCACTAATGATTTACTGAGTGGTGTTATTACCTAATAGTTTTACTAAGAAACTCAGTTCTAGTATGTAGATGCTGGATTAAGTTGGTCGATTTGGGTGCTTTTGTCCTTGAGCGTTTTTTTAAGGGGTGTCAGCTGACTTAGTGGATAAAGAGCTTGTGAATTGTTGTGAAGATCGATCTTAAGATTAAATCACTTTTACATTAAAACTGTTCTTCAGCACTCAAACTTTTTCAGATTTTTTTTTTTCAGTAGAGAATTTTGGTTCAGTTGAAGACCTAAAAAGATTTGATTAAAAAGTATTAAAAATCACTCTTTTTATTAGATTTAAGAAAAAATTGACTCTTAATTGACAAGAACTGCTCCACTAACAGCAGCTTATCCAGTGAACGTTCCCTGCCCATCGAACGTTCCCAGAACTGGTCCACTACCGCCGCCTGTGCTACTCTGCATAATACAGTTTAGGGACTTTTCTGTAATTCCATTCTCTGTTTATCTTCTCTATTTATATGCAAACACTGTAACCAACTCTTGCTATGAAAATACGATGAACATTCCATGTCTAGCTAAGGCTCCGTCTTCCTCATTGTCTGTGTGTGAGTTGGTTTCACTGCAGGTTATGTTTGAGCTATTTCTTCATGGTATCAGAGCAAACAGCTTAACAGCACCATTCTGATGGTCTACTCATCCGTCTCAGCACCATCCACCCCTCAAACCACACCGCAAGTGTCTTCTCCACCACCGGTCATCAATCCAGATGTCACCATTCCTACCGCCCTTAAATTTCTAGTGTCCAATATCAAAAATGTTATACCCATACAACTTCTTCCGGACAACTACACCACATGGCGCTCAGCCGTTTACAAACTGTTTGCTGCTAATATTTTCGCCGGCTATATCGACGGAACTCTTCTCTGCCCTCCAAAACATCTATTATCCCCCTCAGGACAGCTAACACTCAATCCCCAGTTCTCTGCCTGGACACTTGTTGACCAAAACCTTTCGGTTGCCTTATTCTCAACTAGGGATGTAAGTGAGCCGGCTCGAACTCGACTCGTTAACGAGCTCGCGAGCCGAGCTTATCGAGCTTCGAGCTCGAGCTCGAATGCTTAACGAGCTCGAGTTCAAGCTCAGCCTGACTCGACTCGAAAGCTTATCAAGCTACTCTATATAATTATATATATATTATATTTATAATATTAATTATATATATAATAATACCCATCACATGCGTTGGTAATTCTCAAACGAGCTCGATCTCGAGCTCGAGCTTTTCAAACGAGCTCGAGCTTTCGAGTCGAGCTCGAGCTTGATATTTTCTAAACGAGTCGAGCTCGAGCCTACTAATCGAGCTCGATCTCGAGCTCGAGCTCGAGCTCGAGCTCATTAAGGACTAAACGAGCCAGGCTTGATAAGGCAAATACTCGACTCAACTCGACTCGTTTACACCCCTATTCTCAACAATTTCTCCTTCTATACTACCGTATATACTCAACCTTGATACCTGCCATGCCATTTGGCAAACGCTTGAGCGCCGGTTCTTCTCTACAAACCGATCCAGAGTGATCCAACTCAAAAATGAGTTACACTCGGTCTCTATGCACAACAAGACAATGTCTGACTATCTAGCCTCTGTCAAATCTCTGGTTGACAATATTTCTGCCGCCGGTGGCTCCGTCGATTCTGAAGACGTTATCTTCTACATTTTAAACGACCTCCCATCAAGTTACTAGTCATTCAAGACATCCATTCGGACGAAACTCTCTCCGATCCGCCTAGATGATTTTTACGCTTTGCTCTCCAGCAAAGAAGTCATCAAGCTACTGATGCCATCAAGGATCTTGCGCTCCATTATGGTAGCTCCCAATCAGATCCTCAACTTGCTCTTGTCTCCAGTCGTGGCCGTGGCCGTGGCCGAGGTCGTGCCGCCTACAATCGGGGACATGGTCGCTACCTTTAGTCTAACAATTTCAGTACCACAGCCCGACCACCTCGTCTCTCCGTCGACTGCCAAATTTGTGGAAAAAGAGGTCAGTCGGCTGTGCATTGCTGGCATCGGGGGAATTTCAACTACGTACCGCAGCAGTCCCCCTCCAATGTAGCTCTCGTCGTCGACTCTGATACCTCTCCATGGTATCTGGACAGTGGAGCCACCGCCCACTTAACACCCGATCTATAGTCTCTTCACAATGCAGCCCCTTACTCCGGCAATGATCAAGTGCAGGTTGGAAATGACAGTTCCCTTCCCATAGTTCATTCCGGCAAAGGTCTTCTTACAACCCCTATTCGTAAGCTTCAGCTAAACCCCCTCCTTCACGTTCCTCATCTTACCCACAAACTTTTATCTATTTCCAAACTCATCAGAGATAACAATTGCTCTGTAATCTTTAACAAGTTTGGTTTCTCTGTTAAGGATCCGACGACCAGTCAAGTTCTTCTCCAAGGCCCCTATCATAAGGGTCTATATCCGCTACTCCCTGCTGATCACAAACTTACTCTTATTGCTCCTTCAGGCTCGCCCGTAGCTCCCTCCTCTGCACTTCTCTGGCACCGACGCCTCGGTCATCCGAATTTCAGAACACTGTCTATGCTATCCAAACAACTATCTTCCTTTTCTGTCTCTAATGTATTTTGTAATGCGTGTGCTGTAGCTAAAAGCCACCAACTACCTTTCTCTATCTCTAACAATGTATCCAAGTTTCCATTACAATTAATACATGCCGATGTCTGGGGACCTTCCCGGGTACTTTCTCGTGATGGTTTCCGTTATTATCTTATTCTTGTTGTCGACTTCTCACGTTATACTTGTATTTTCCCTCTACAACATAAATCTGATGTCTCAGCTAAAATTATAAGCTTCAAACCTTTAATTGAGAAACATCTCAATTGTCCCATTCGAACTTTAAGAACAGATGGCGGTGGCGAATTCCTTAACAACACCCTTCGTTCTTACCTTTCTGCTCACGGTATTCTTCATCAATACACATGTCCACATATCCCCCAACAAAATGGCATTGCAGAAAGAAAACATCGTTATCTCATTGACACCGTCCGAACTCTCCTCGTCGAAGCTCAGCTACCACTAATATTCTGGCTTGACGCTCTTCTCATGCGCTTTACTTAATCAATCGTTTACCCTCCACAACCACCTCCTCAATTTCCCCATATCAACGTCTCTATAAAAAACCACCCTCCTACGATCATCTCCGCTCTTTTGGCTGTCGATGCTACCCTTGGCTGCGACCCTATACACCTCACAAATTAGCTCCTCGTTCTATTCCCTGCATATTTCTCGGATATGACACAACTCAAAAAGGCTACAAATGCTTTAATCCTCTTACTGACAAACTCATCATTTCTCGTAATGTTATTTTCACTGAATCTCTATTTCCCTACTCTTCCGATTTCCCGTCTGCCACACCTGCTACTTCTCAACCCAAAATACCTCTCCATTCCTCTGTTCTCCCTATTCGTGCTCCACCGTCCACAACAAATGACCAATTTTCACTACAAGTCTTCCAAGTGTCATACCTTCCTCTCCTCACAATTCCAATTCTGTCACTCACCTAACAGCCAATTCTTCCTCCAGTTCTTCAGCCCCTCCTCCTCCACCAGGTCATTCTATGGTCACTCGTTCCAAAACAGGTTCTCTCAAGCCTCGCATTCTTTTGAACCTCAATCACACTATCCAAATTACTCCTACATGCTTTACTACAGCAAATAAAATTCAAGCCTGGCGAAATGCCATGTCGGATGAATTTCGGACACTTCAAGCTCAAGGGACTTGGTCACTTGTACCCCCTCCAACCAATCAACAAGTTATTGGATGTAAATGGATTTACAAGCTCAAACGGCTCTCCGACGGCACAATTGCTCGTCACAAAGCACGTCTCGTTGCCCAAGGTTTTAAACAAGAGTATGAGATTGATTATCACGAGACCTTTAGTCCCGTCATCAAATTCCAAACTATTCAGATTTTTCTAATTGTTGCCTTGCACCACACTTGGCCGGTCTATTAACTTGATGTGGTAAACGCCTTTTTACATGGCAAGCTCTCCGACACAATTTATATGCATCAACCTCCGGGTTTTCAAGATAAAGTGCATCCCAACCATGTGTGTCATCTCCATAAGGCCATCTATGGCCTAAAGCAAGCTCCAAGACTTTGGTTTGCCACTCTAACATCGTATCTTCTTACGCATGATTTTCAAGTCAGCTCTGCCGACACTTCTTTTCTGCTTCTTCACAAAAACCACATCACTATCTATTTATTAATTTATGTTGATGATATCCTAGTTACCGACAACGATAGTCAGTTTATTTCTTCCCTCATAGAAAAACTGCAGCTCACTTTTCATACCCGCAATCTCGGTTTACTATCCAGATTTCTTGGCATGGACATAATCCGGTCGCCTACAGGATTTCACTTATCCCAAAAGGCATATATACTAGTCTTCTTCACATTGCAGGAATGACCGGCTGAAAACCCATTTCCACTCCATTGCCAGCAAAACTACCCACAAAACCTCACCTCCAAGAACAGTTCAATCAACCTGTTCTTTTTCGACAATTAGCCGGCTCATTACAATACTTGTCTAACACTCATCCTGACATAACATTTGCAGTTAACAAACTCTGTCAATATATGCATCAACCAACCTTAGCACATTATCAGCTTTTAAAGCGTCTTCTCCGCTATCTTCATGGCACTGTTGATCATGGCCTGTTTCTTCCAAAAACTGGCTTACAACTTTCGGCTTACTCCGACTCAGATTGGGCTGGCGACACTATTGACCGAAAATCAACCACCGGTTTTTGTGTTCTACTTGGCAATGCTCACATTAATTGGTCGGTTAAAAAGCAGTCTACTGTTGCTCGATCTTCTACTGAAGCCGAATACCGGTCTCTTGCGGCCACTGCCACTGATCTAATATGGATCAGACGCCTATGCCATGACTTCTCCATTTCCTTAGCTACTACTCCGGTGTATTGTGATAACATCTCAGCAATGTCTATAGCTTGTAATCCGATCTTCCATGCCCGTACGAAGCACATCGAGATTGATTACCACTTCGTTCGTGATTGCATTCAGACTCAGAGCATCGCTGTCCATCATGTTTCCACGACCGATCAACTCGCCGATATCTTCACCAAGTCATTACCAGCTCAAAGGTCGCATCTACTACTTGACAAGCTGATGATCGTCCCGCCCATCAGCTTGAGGGACGGTGACAAGAACTGCTCCACTACCGCCGCCTGTGCTACTCTGCATAATACAGTTTAGGGACTTTTCTGTAATTCCATTCTCTGTTTATCTTCTCTATTTATATGCAAACACTGTAACCAACTCTTGCTATGAAAATACGATGAACATTCCATGTCTAGCTAAGTCTCCGTCTTCCTCATTGTCTGTGTGTGAGTTGGTTTCACTGCAGGTTATGTTTGAGCTGTTTCTTCATTAATAGGACCCGATAGAGAAAATGATTCATTTTTCCGACCCCACGCAGTGGGATGATGACTTGTTGTAGCAGAGAATTTAGGTTCACTATTATGCTTGCGTGAAGCTCTACAAAGAGAATCAGATTGAATGGAGTTTTTTTACTATATTTTAATACTTTAAATTCTAACAAAATGTTCAGGTTTGGTATATTTCTGGTTCAATCAATGATGTATACTATAGTTTGTGGATATGTTCTCTTCTAATTGGTGCCTGATTTTTTTAGTTTCTTTTGGTTTCAGTCACTAGAAAGCAATGATCTTACAATAGTAAGGACCATGACGCCCCCGAGAGCAAGTTCTGGCAAGTTATTCTTTTGTGATGGCGTTTTTCTTTTTTATAGTCATATTTCTGTTTCTAAACTGAATTCATTTCAGACTACTCAAAAAGACGTCCTAGAAAAAGTGCAATTCCCAAGAATAATGCTTCTGCTCCTAAGGGTTTTGTACCTAGACCTCAGGTTGGAAGAAGCAGTCAGAAGAAAGATCGTGATCCTGAAGAGGGGGAGCAATCTGGCAGTTCTCACTCTAGTAAGAACTTTTCTTTCACTAGTCAGTTCTCTGAAGTAATTGTTGATAGAAAAGCAGAAAGTAGTCGTTTTCATTCTATATCAATCTATCTGGCAATGTAGTGAAAAGCAGAACCAAGTTATTGGAAGAAGGTGAAAAGAGTGGCCATGAGGATGCTGATGTTGAACTTGTAGAGGAACTATACAGCAATGAGGATGAGAGAGATGAAATAGGTACAATGATGGTGGAAGAAACAATTGTTTATGATGAAGAATTTGAGAAAGGAAGGATGAGAAGTGATGAGAGTTTGAAGCTGGGCAAATTGTCGCAATTTTCAGGTAATTCACTGCTCCATGCATCAAAAATGAAGGGTCACATAGAAAAATTAGTAATTACAGAAAACAAAGCAGCTGTAGGAGCAGCCATGGTTGGGAATGATGTGAGTATAGGGCAGCATGAGGGAAAAAGTGAACTTCGTGATGAATTATTGGCTAAAATAAGGATCGAGATGGAAGCTCATGCTCTTCGAAAATTGTTAGAGGAACTTGCTGAGGAAAATTTTGCCAGCGGGAACAAGTTCTTTGTTTTCCCTAAAATCATCAAAGCTGATCAAGTGATTGAAGTTTTCTTTAATCGTAGTTTATCACCTTTGGTGAATGGACACGATGTTTTCATAAAGGGTGCCTTTAATGACTGGAGATGGAAGGATTTCACTGTTAAAATGATTAGAAGTGATTTTCATGGGGACTGGTGGTCTTGCCAGATTTATATTCCTAAAGAGGCTTACAAAATAGATTTTGTGTTCTTCAACAGTGAGAACGTGTATGACAATAATAACCAGAAGGATTTTTCTGAACCTGTTAAAGGTGAAATGGATGAATATGCATTTGAAGATTTATTGCTTGAAGAGCAGCAGATAAAACTTGGAAAACTTGCCGCTGAGCAAGCTGAGAAGGAAAGTCATGCTGAAGAGCAGCACCGTAGGGGAGTAGAACAAGCAGCCATGGAAGCTTACAGAGCACAGGCTAAATTGGAGGCCGAGAAAAAGAGGGAAGCTTTTCAAAAAGTGATACCATTGGCTGTGGAGTCTGTTGATGATTTATGGCATATAGAGCATGCTTTATTCAAGGGAGAGAACTGGTTTCGATTATATTATAACCGAAGTTCTCGTCCACTGGAACATTCTTCAAATATTTGGATTCATGGTGGTTACAACAACTGGATAGAGGGCGTGTCAATTGTTGAAAGGCTTAACAAATTTGACAAAAATGGTGACTGGTGGTATGCAGATGGTATGCGCAAAATTATCTTAATTTTTTTTTTCTTTTCGTTTGGATTTTATTAACCAATAAAGTTTCTTGTGACTTTGATTTTGTTTTTATATTTGTTTTTTTTATAATGTTTGATTTTTCATACTTCATGCATGTTGACCTCTATTTCAACTCTATCAAAGTTTGCCTAAGGCTCAAGCCTGCTAATTAGATATGCATTCTCAAAAGGTGGCCCATATTGTTGTCACGGAGAGTGATTGTGATATGTTAGGAAACACTTGTATATTTCAAGTAAATCCTATCAATTCCAGAAAAATAAGCGGGAAAACTCTTCCAAACTCCAAAAGAAAACAAGAAAAGCAATAATTTTATTGCAAAAATCAAGTAGAACGAAAGAAAACTACAAGATACAAGTGATCCTCTATTCGAGAGGAGGATCGATCTCTCCCAAATCTCTAGACGGCCGCTAGAACCCAAAGGAAAACCTAAATCTAGGAGATCTCAAATTTCAGCCAAATTCCAGATGCCCTAACCCTAGGAAAACAAAGTATTTAATGCATACAAATCAAAAGGAAATCCCTAAACAGTCTCAACATTCAAATTCCCTCCTAAACTTTCTAAAAAATCCTTCCTAAATTAGCCCGGTTAGCGCACTGCAGAGTGATCAGCATACAGGAGAGGCGGACGTCACCGCCTCGGTTTCGCCTGGGTCGGTCTTGTAAGGACCGGTTCGATGGGCCGGTCTAATAATACTCCCCTCCCAAAGATCCACCTTATCCGTAAGGTGGAAAGACGACACCATCCATTCATTCTTCATCAAAACGGTAAGAACCTGAAGAGTTTGGTCCTTACACATGTGCCTCGACATATACCTCTCATCACATCTAAAACAGAGTCCCTTCGTCCTCTTTTCTTGTAATTCTGTCCCTGTGAGATTCTTGAAGTTTTCCCAGGCCTTCCTCCTTCAGTCTTTTCCTTCAAAGTCCCCTGAAGAGTATCCGGTGTTGGCTCCTTAGATTTCAATAAGGCGGTGGTCATCCGATACGAGCCTTCTGAGCTGCTGCCTCCCGTCTCTCCCTCCAGGTGCCTCTGATCTTCTACCAATTGAGCTAGCTCTATAGCCTCTCCCAAGTTATGAGGCCTCATTACGCTAACCGATGCTTGAATCTTTGGTGTCAATCCCTTCATGAAGTTTTCCTCTAGCACTGTCTCAGAAAGACTGTCTAATTGGCTAGCAAGGTACTCGTTCTACCAAACAATCTTTGAACTCTCTCCAATTATGTATGGGTCGTCACATGTCCCTCCACTGATACCAAGACTAAGCATTCCCATCTAAACATAAGCCCGCCAACGTCAGTCTCTCCTCCTCTGTCAGCCCATTGACAGCGAAATATCTTTCTACCTTATAGATCCATCCGCGTGCATCCTCCCCCTCAAAGATTGGCATCTTAAGATTCCTCACCCTCGGGTCACACCCGTTTCCCTTAAATCTTCCATAACCTCCCATTCCTCGAAGCGGAGGTGCTCCCCAATTGTCACGATCTTCCCTCTGGTGATCATACCCAAACCATTCATCAAAATCCTCTCTTTTTCTTTCAAAATCAGCACCCGGTGATCGAAATCATCCCCTCTCCTTACCAATTCAGCACCCTTTTTGCGTAACCAATGCTTATCTCCTCCCTAACAAGTGGTTCTAGAGGTGGCATTCCGTCTTCTCCCTCCAGGATCTCCACTTTTAGATCTTCCCTTCCCTTAGACGTGTTAGGGTTCCCATCTGTTCCATGGTCGCCGGTAGTTTCTTTTGCTTCCGATGTCACCGGTTTGGTTTTGGCTTCAAGCAGTTTTTTCAACTTGTCTTCCACCACAACGAACTTTTCCTCTATCATTTCATTGACGGATGAAATCTGACTTTGAAAATCAGTAATCTTTTTCTCAAAATCTGCTTTGAGTTTCCCAAGTTCTCTCTCCAAAACTTCCACTTTCCTTCCGGCCATTGGTTCCCTAAAAATCGACGTGCTATGATGCTAATTTAATAGGAAACACTTGTAGTTTTAAAGTAAATCCTATCATATTCAGAAAAATCAATAGGAAAACTCTTCCAAACTCCAAAAGAAAACAAGAAAAACAATAATTTTATTGCAAAAATCAAGTATAAAGGTATAAAACAACAAGATACAAGTGATCCTCTATTCTAGAGGAGGATCGATCTATCCCAAATCTCTAGACGCTGCTAGAGCCCAAAGGAAAACCTAAATCTAGGAGATCTCAAATTTCAGCTAAATTCCAGATGCCCTAACCCAAGGAAAATATAGTATTTAATGCATACAAATAAAAAAGAAATCCCTAAACTGTCCCTACATTCAAATTCCCTCCTAAACTTTCTCAAAAATCCTTCCTAAATCTGCCCGGTTGGCACTTGTGGTGCGATAGGTGTACAGGAGAGGCAGACGTCTCCGCCTCGATTCCGCTTGGGTCGGTCCGATGGACCGGTCTAACATAAGCATTGTATGTGCCAAAAACCTCTCAAGTGTGAATGAAAATCATCCTAAAATGAAGCCCCAAGTACCATGAAATGCCCAAGCCCTATGTGGTGATGCATTGTCAAAAAATTCAAAATATGAAAGGTGAACTAATTCCACACCATCATATTGCATAGACATAAATTTTAAATCAAATAAAATGAGATGATTTTTGCTATGTGGGCCATGGACGATGACATTAGGATTAGTTCCACACCGCCAAGGGGAATGCCATTATAATTAATTTTTGAATTCCTCAAAATTAGAATCCTTAATGGATAGGGAGGTGTTTTGTAGAATTTTTGATTTGTGCCTCTTATAGGAATTCAACTATAGCAAGGCAATGCTTTTATTTTTCATCTTTTGCCTCAATCTTGTTGATTGTAGGCTTGTATGGGTTCACATTTTTCCCCTCTATTTAGGTGATACCAAATAGTTACCATCCATATAGACATTTTTCCCTTGTATTATTATCATGCTGTTATTGTGCAACTGTTATCACTCACCTTGCTTATTCTCAATGACTCTTTCCCTTCAAGTTCAACTTGTTATTTTCAATGGAAACATCAAATTGTGAGTGCAAAAGTTCAGGCATTTGGAAGTTCATAAATGTTTAGAGAAGTGAGTGAGATACTTTGAATAAGGAGAGTAAGTGAGAGAAAATAGGAAAAATAGGAGACTTTTTAGTTTTGAGTTATCAATTTATGCGACCAATGTTCATTATAGAGGGGGCAGAAATCTTATGTCTTAGAGAATGGTCTACAGATTTCAGTGATGTGGGAAGTAAAATTTGAAGATCTTCTTACTATTTCCCTTTGCCCCATTTTTCTAACATTCCAAGTTGGAATTAAGATTGTTTCATCCATCATCCTTTGAACCGTTAAAACCTTTAAAATCTTGGCATTTCCATTTGACAATTATGGAATGAATATTTATGCCTTTATGATGGATGATCATCTTTCCTTCGACTTGATTCTAATATTAAATAACTCGTCAGTTAACTTTGATCAAGAGTTATTCTTCATGAAATGCCGACTAGTGGATCCAGTTCCTTGGAGTTGAACTTTTGACCCCAGAGTGTATGTAATTCTAGCAGATTCTAACCATCAATACAATCATATTTTTTAGGACAGTGAATTTGAACTTCTTTTGGCATATCGTCAACAGCTGGTACCCTGATTTTTGACGCCCATTATGGGGCTCATGTGCAATCTTAATTCTTTCTTGATAAGTGGGCATTCAAAGTCCCCACAGCCTGCATTTTGTTTTAACCCGATCTTGTGGAATTTGGTCTCATTCACAGTTGACGGAGCGTGACTTTTGAAAGCTGCAAGAAATCACTGGTTAGTATTCATAAACAGAGAAAACAGAGAAATGGATTAAGAGCTCTTTTCATTTCATCATCTGTTTGTTCCTATGAACAGTGCCGTATATGTAGGGAGAAACTCTAATAGAAAGTGTAAAAGGGCAGAGCCGTTTCTGTGACTGTCAGAGGTAGCCATGTGCTCCACTTCCGTGAGTAAGTGTGGTATGATGACTGTCAGGGCATGATAACAGCCTCCCTCAAGCTGATGGTGCCGGAGAAACCATAAGCTCGGTACGTAGATTCGTAAAACGAAGACGAGGAAGTGCCTTAGTGAATATATCAACGAGTTGATCCTGGGAACTAATGTGATGGACATTGATAGTAGCTGACTTAATGCAGTCCCGTATGAAATGATAGTCCACCTCGATGTGTTTCGTTCTTGCATGAAACACAGGATTATGTGCAAGTGCGATGGTTGAAACACTATCGCAATAGAGAGATGTAGGTGCTGAATTTGGAATTTGAAAATCAACAAGAAGTTGCCGAATCCAAATGATATCAGTTGCTGCTGTAGCTAAAGCCCGATATTCAGCTTCCGTAGACGAGCGAGCAACCGTAGATTGCTTTTTAACACACCAAGATAGAATAGTGTTGCCATGAAACAAACAATATCCGGTAGTAGATTTTCTATCAAATGGATTCCCCGCCCAATCCGAATCGGCATAAGCACGCACATCAAATAAGGTTGGACTGATTTGAAGGCCATAGTCTACGGTGCCTTTATCATAGCGAAGTAAATGTTTAGTGTCTGGAAGTGATGTTGCAAAGGAGTATGCATAGATTGACACAGTAAATTTACAGCATAAGTAATGTTCGGACGAGTAATTGTCAAATATTGCCATGCACCTACAAGTTGTCGAAATAATTCTGAATTTTCAAACGGCTTTAAGGCAACTGTATATGCAGGCCGTTTCACGGGAATTGGTATGGCAACCGGCTTGCAATTATCCAGACCTGCACGATGTAATAAATCCAAAGCATATTTGGATTGACAAATATGATAGCCGTTAGCATGAGAAACAGCTTGAATGCCTAAGAAGTAGCTGAGAGTGCCAAGGTTCCTAATATGGAACTGTTGATGGAGGTTAGACATCAGCTCAGCAATGAAGTCGGGGTTGTTACCGGTGACTAAGATGTCATCCACATGCACGAGAAAGTATATCAGATTAGAGTTATAATTGTATATAAGCAAGGATGGATCGGCTTCACTATGCCGAAAGCCCCAGGTTTGCAAATGAGTAGTGATCTTAGCAAATCATTGACGTGGGGACTATTTAAGTCCATATATGGCTTTTTGTAGTTTGCAAATGTAGTCCGGATGCTGAGAATCCTTGAACCCCGGGGGCTGGTGCATGTAAACAACTTCATTCAAATCCCCATGTAAAAATGCATTGGAAACATCTAACTGAGTAATTTGCCAATGATGGTAAACTGCAGCTGTAATGAAAAGGTGAATGGTGGGTAATTTCGCCACCGGACTGAATGTTTCAGTATAATCTATCCCATATTCTTGCCGGTGACCTTGTGCCACCAAATGAGCTTTATGTCGAGCAATCAAACCATCTGATTTTCTTTTTGTTTTATAAATCCATTTGCATCCAAGAATAGTTTGAGAGTCAAGCGGTGACACAAGAGCCCATGTGCCTTGGTGTTGAAGAGCTTGAAATTCGGCTGACATGGCATCACGCCAGCATTTGTGGTTTCTGTCAGTCGAAAAACAGGTAGGATCTGATTCTTCCACCAGTAAATGTTGCAGATTAAATACAGCTTTGGGCTTTAACGTTCCAGTTTGCAACCGAGTCACCATGGGATGTCTAGTAGGTGGGAGTGATGTAGTAGGAGCAGAAGCAATTGAAACCGGTGAATGAGCAGGTGAGGATGTAGATGGAATATCGGGTGGACTGGGTATATGAGAGATATCAGTGGATTGAGGATTTGGAATATGAGAAGTAGTAGGAACTGAAGAAGATATATTTGAAGATGAGTGCAAGTCCTGTTGAGATGAAGGATAGGGAACCAGTAACATAGGAGGAGAATTTGAATGTACAGTTGGTTTGGTAGACGGTGGTATGGTGGATGTAGAAGACTGAAATGGGAAAACCTGTTCATGAAATTGAACGTGGCGGGAAATCAGAATTTTGTGATTATTGAGATGATAACAACGATATCCTTTATGATTGGAACTATATCCCATAAATACGCAAGCTGAAGATTTTGGAGCGAATTTGTGAGGAGAAGATGGTTGAAGCCATGGGATAACACAAACACCCAAAAACTTTGAGATGAGAGTAAGAGGGAATATGATTATATAATTTTTGAAATGGAGACATAGAATTTGTATTTTGGGAGGGAAGACGATTAATCAAGTAGACCTCCATTAGTACAGATTCAACCCAAAAATTGGTTGGAAGATGAGCCTGTATTAACAGAGTACGAGCGGTCTCAATTATATGACGATGTTTACGCTCTGCTATTCCATTTTGCTGTGGCGTATAAGGACAACTAAATTGTTGTAAGATGCCATGAGTAGAGAAGAAATTCTTAAATTGTAAACTGGTGTATTCACCGCCTCCATCAGATTTGAAAATTTTAATTTTTGCAGTGAATTGTTTTTCAACCATGACTTTAAAGTGAGCAAATTTGGAAAATACTTCAGCTTTAGTACACATAGGATATACCCAGGTAAAGCGAGAAAATTTATCAAGAAAAAGAACATAGTAACGATATCCATTAAATGATAGAACTGGGGATGGACCCCATACATTAGACACGACTACTTGAAACGGAGAAGTACAACGATAAGTAGAACTGGGAAAGGGAAACCTATGACTTTTTGCAGTTTGACATGGATGACATATATCATTAGTTACAGAAATATGTAAAGTAGGAAAACTTGAAGCTAAATTGGATAAAACAGCTTTGTGAGGATGTCCCAATCTGGCATGCCATAGAGACGAACTAGTAGTGGTCACGAGAGCCTTTGAAGATGAACTGGACGGAATGACGATTGAGTACAGACCGTCATGGCAGGGACCTGAGAGAATCGAATGATTGGTTTTTCGATCCTTTATATCATAGCCATGAGATGAAAAAGACAGTGCAAGCATTGTCAGAAGTTAGGCGGTGAACTGAAAGGAGATTATGACAGACTTTAGGGACATGTAGAAGAGGAGAGAGGGAAAACTTACATTTCGGGGTAGGAAGAAGACCTTGGCCCGAGTGAGAAATGGGTAGTGACTGACCGTTGCCTACTTGAACTTGTTGAAAGCCATGATAAGGGTGAGCTGTGACCAGTTGATTTGGATCATTTGTAATGTGAGATGTCGCACCCGTGTCCAGAATCCAATCAGTAGAGCTGCTGCCATTGTCTGTAGCTTCAGCCACAAATGCAGAGGGGTTGCTTTTGGTGTAATTGAGATTGGTGCGATGCCAGCATTTCTCAGCTGAGTGACCGAGCTTGCCACAAATCTGGCACTCAATACATGGTGAAGATGTTCGGCCACCACGGGAAGACGAGAACCTTCCGCGACCACGGGTATTGCGAAAGGGCTGACGCGGCGAACCTCGAGAAGAAGTTGCAGCAAGAGCCAGTGAAGTATCCGAAATCTGGACTGAATGAAGAGCTCTGGCCGCTTCATTTTCAAGGTTTGTCTCCTCGCTGCAGAGTAACGAATAAAAATCATCTAGATTGAGCGGATGGAGGTTTGTGCGTACTGCCGTTTTGAAACCTTGATACGACTCCGACAAACCATTGAAAGTGTACATAATTACATCCTCCGAATCCAAGATGCAGCCGGCAGCAGTGAGTTGATCGACTTTGACTTTGATGTCGGTTAAAAACTGCTGCATAGTCTTGCTCCCCATGGAAATGTAATTGAGATCATTTTTCAGTTGCAGGATTTTAGACCGATTGGAAGATTGCAACCTTTTTTCGATGGTCAGCCAAATCTCCGAACATGAATCGAGATGAAGGACATAGGGTAGAAGAGATGCGGATATAGTAGTAAATAAAGCAGCAGCCAAATTTTGATCGATTAACATCCACGTAGCATACAAAGGATTGGAGCTTACAGAGCCATTGGCGGAAACAATTTGACGAGATGGGCGCGCAATGGTTCCGTCAAGATACCCTTCGAAGCCGTTCGCTCGAAAAACTTTGAGCACTTGCGATTTCCAGGTGAGATGATTATCTGGGGTTAGTTGGATAGTAATGACATTCTTAATGGTGGACATTAAGAATTTCAACTGAGGAGGAATGTTCACCGTTCCCAGAAGCTGAGCGGCATCAATAATCGGAGCGGGAGCAGGATGCTGAGCGGCATCGGCAGTAGAAGAATTATCGGAAGCCATCAAATATAAAAAACACAAGCCGTAAGGCTTACACGGGCTCTCATACCATGAAAGCTTCAAGAAATCACTGGTTAGTATTCATAAACAGAGAAAACAGATAAATGGATTAAGAGCTCTTTTCATTTCATCATTTGTTTGTTCCTATGAACAGTGCCGTATATGTAGGGAGAAACTCTAACAGAAAGTGTAAAAGGGCAGAGCCGTTTCTGTGACTGCCAGAGGTAGCCATGTGCTCCACTTCCGTGAGTAAGTGTGGTAGGATGACTGTCAGGGCATGATAACAACTTTGTTGTTGACGAGGAATATATTGACATATAAGCTATTTCAGCTTTCGATTTAATCAAGGAATATTATAAATGGATGGTGAACAACAACTATGAAGCTAAAACTATATGAGCAGTCCTTTCACTGGCTATTTACTGTAGATCTTAGCCCTTCAAAATTTTTTATAATTATTGGAAAATTGTGCGAACCCTTCTCGTGAAAGGAATACCAAAGCAGAAAGAGAAATTGGAAACCAAAATTAAGAAATACAGATTATAACCCTTACTTCATACTCATAAAATGTAAACATGTTCCATAATGAAATCTTAGTGTCATGGACGGATTAATTTTTTAACTATTAACTATGATTTTAGTCACTTGTTTACTGTCAGGTCTTTTAAATTCAACATGCTTAGTATGATTTCATACAATTTGCTTTTCTTTGTAATGTCTAATTTCTGTATTTATAGTTGTTTTACCTGACAGAGCACTTGTTCTGGATTGGGTTTTTGCCGATGGGCCACCACTACAGTCAAAAGTTTTTGATAACAACAACTACCAGGATTTCCATGCCGCTATAAGGAAAGGTTTATCTGAAGAAATCTACTGGTTAGAAGAAGAAGATAGAATATTTAGGAAGCTTTGGGAGGAAAGAAGATTTAAAGAGGAGGCTGCACGTAAGAAGGTCAGTCCATTATATGCTATGGCCCTTGAAGTTGTGTAAATTGTTCAAAACCAGTCCTAATGTAGTATAAATTTCTATTAATGCTTATCTTGCATAGAGCTTCTTACTTGGTATTTATGTTCTTGCTATCACAGGCTGAGAAAGCAGCACGTTTGAAGGCTGAAACAAAGGAAAGAACTTTGAAAAGGTTTTTACTGTCTCAAAAGCATGTAGTGTATACAGAGCCACTTGTTATTCAAGCTGGAAAGATGGTTAGAGTTTTGTATAATCCCTTTAACACAGTTTTAAATGGGAAAGAAGAGGTTTGGTTCAAATGTTCATTTAACCGTTGGACTCATCGTAATGGTCCACTGCCCCCACAAAAGATGGTGCGGGTGGGTACTGATACACATCTCCAAGCACTTGGTAAGTTCGTCTATGTCAAATGTCTCATTTATGGGACTTGCAAATAGTAATTGTAATCATAAATTTTTGATATACAGTATATTACTGACCTCCTTTATAGGATTCATCATCAAACTATCAGGACACTCCTCATAGATTCATTTTCATGCATTGTGTTTTCCTGCCGGGCCTTTTATTTGTTCATATTCCCATGAGGTACCATAAAAGATCTAGTGAAGGTGGTAGGAATGAGTGGTAAAATTCACCTTTTCTTGAGAGAAACAATTGGAACCATATATTTGGTAGAGGTAGCATGGATCCAACAGGAAGTCTTGTGCTTGAGACATTTGACACCAGGTACAAGGTAAGCTCCTTGGTGAATATGAATTCTGTGTACTCCCTAACGAGTGTTACCACAATGCGCAAGCTCGATGCTAAGGCTTAACACCTATAATTGGTTACGAATAGAAGAGTATCATTGAATGGATACGTTACACCCCAAAATGACTTCTAGGTAGACATAAGGCGAACAGAGAAATACATGAGTACTACACTTTATATTTTATAACTTCTAACATATACAAAATTTAAAATGTTAACCGTTTAAGCACATTATAATATTTTGTAACACAAGCAAATTCAAATAATAATTATCCTTTCATTTATGGATGTAACGCCCCACAATACCCCTTAATAGTATTGTAAAGTGTCACATGTATAAACATAACATTTTCAGTCATCTATCATATGATACTTTTCATTATTTGTAAATTGATATAAAAGTTGTAATAATGTATCATTTATTGCATAACCGGAAGCATCTATAAATTCCATATTACTTCAAATATGTACTTACAGAGACATTAATAAAAATCTCAAATAGTGTCCAATGAACTATCTGCATACCTCAATAGTAGACTTACAAACAGATTTAAACACTAACATATAAAATTTTTAAATACTTGCAACTTAGTCTGCTTTGACCTTTTCCTTTCCTTTTCATGTAACAGTCAGTATAAATTAAAATAACTGGTGAGCTTTGAGGCTGCGGGCTTCGAAAATTCAGCCCCGACCTCCGCTCGACACTGTTTGCTTTTTCTTCGGCGAGGGAGTTTTAACGGATTTAGGTTTGTAGATAAGACACTACCTAGAGATTTCGTCCTCATTTTGTGGGACTTTATGATCTGAGTTCTGGTTTCTTATAGGCGCAAGCCCTTATAGTTAATTACCCCTCCCAATAACAAGAGAGAACTTTCGATTAAGGCTAGTCGTCAATCAGATTTGTAGATAATACGTGTTATCTGACATATAATAGCAGCATGGGTTTGGGAATTTGAAGGTTTGAAGGGTTGAAAATTTTGATATTTAAAATAGAAATTTCACCATCTTGCACTTAAAAAGGATGGTGGGGGAATGGACGATAGACCCGATCAAGATCACATGGTTCCGTCGTCCCAGACCATTGTGGTTCTTGGTCTATTTAGTTAGAGGAGGTAGTCGACCGAACCTAACAGAAGGATCCCTAATAGCAGCCATGGGTTGCTTCGTCCAAGGGCATCTTATAAGCCTGGGGTGAATGTTTGTCTAAGGTGACAAATTTGAATTCACCTTAGTTAACGGAGGGCTTTGTGCCCTATCGATTATATCCTATTGATTCATATCTCAAGGATTTGATGTCACTAAGGAGCGTATTGGCTCTGGCCATAACCGGTATTTCGTGGTGCCATTTGGCGCAAAACCACTCGGTTCAGAGGGCCCCGGGTCATAACCGTTTATTCTGCGGTGCCATTTGGCTGCAAAATTGCCGGTTAGAGGAAACGTACCACGTCCTTATTGGCAGAAGATTATTTGAGAATGGATCCTAGTGATATTTTTGACTAGACATTAGCTCTTTGTGAGCTGAAGTTATATTTGAATTTGTCCGCCTCAGCAAACTTTTACGGAGGGTGTATGAATTTTGCTTTGAGTGGTTGATGATTAAGTTTCAATTTTAAATATCTGAATCTTGGATTTTCTGAGATTTTTGGATTTTAGAACTTATGGAGTTTTGGATTTTTGAGCTTTTGGATGAAATTTGAAAGTATTTGTGAAATTAACCCCTCTAGTTGAGATTTTCATTCAACACGGCCATCATCGGGGTATATGGGGTCATTCATTTGAAAATATTTGTATTTTATAGATGAACCTCGTCGACTCTGTTGAGCTGCCAACAGAGGACCGAGTTTCTTGGGCTTCATGCATTTGTTTGTGAATTTCTTTTATTAAAGGCCTTGAAGGTCTAATATGAATGTATAAAATAAATATTCCGATCAACTTCGTGACTGTATATTTATCCGATGGTTCGAACCCTGTCTACTCCTATTTACCTGCTTATGAGGATCGAGTTTCATAGGCTTCACGCATTTGTTAGTGAATTCTCTTGATTATAGGCTTTGAAGGCCTAATATGAATGTTTAAAACAAATATACCGATCGCTACAACCGTGTATTTGTTTGATAGTTCAAATCCTGTCAACTTCTATTGATCAGTATAGAAAGATTAGGTTCAAACTTGAATTCACTTATTGACCCGCACAACATCCCTAGACGTCACGTGTGTACCAATAACACGCTCGCCGGGGCTCATGCTGGTGTTTGAGAATTTCATTGATTGGACATACCCATCGTGAACCTATGTGTATACAAACTATAGTGCATGTGCAAGGGCAGGGGCGGAACCAGCTCTAATTTTGAGGGGGGGCAATTTTAATATAAAAATAATTAAATAAAAAAATAAAAATAATTAAATATTAAAAATTATATTTCTAATATTATGAAAAGTTGTTTTAATTTTTTATAACTTTATATTTATCTAACAAAAAATTAGCTTCCAAATGCAAACAAAATATCTATCTAAATCATCACCATATTTTCACCCACAAAAAAAAGTTAAAAAAAAATATTGCTAGATTAAGAAACAAATATACATAATTGATATTGTTAATCAAATCCTACATATTTTTTTTGCACTAATTAACTCACTTTAAAAAAGTATTTCTAAACTAAAGTTATTGCATAGAAAAATGAGCCATCATTACTACCCATTGTCATAGTAGTTAAAAAACAAAAAATATATATACATTGGGAGAAGATAAAGCAAAAAATGCAATGTATGATAGAGATGAATAAAGCTGTCAAGTAGGGGCAAAAAGGTTTTTTAGGGGGCAAAATTGATTTTTTAGGAGGGGTAAAAAGGATTTTTTACTCTCCTATAAGTTATTTTTTTTTTGAGGGGGGCAATTGCCCCCCAGGTAAGATGGGGTTCCGCGCCTGTGCAGGGGTACTTTGAAATATTTTAGCAAATCCTGGTAGTTGCCATTTGAATACACAACATTTCATTTGAGAACTTATACACGCCTTCTGTCTGCTAGTACGAGTGTTGCAGATCTGGTGGTGGTCGTTGTAGATTGTAGACGCCTTCTGTCTGTTTGTATAAGTGTTGCAGATCCGGTGGTGGTGCGTATAGATTGTAGACGTCTTCTGTTTGCTTGTATAAGTGTTGCAGATCCGGTGGCGGTCGTAGCAGCTTCTGAATTGAATTGTTTGTTGTTTTATATAAGTAGACTGCCGTGCACTACTTGTTGATTTTTGCAGGTGGATTGTAGTGCACTAACGAATGTCCTGCTTTTGCATATATGTGAATTATAGCGTTATCACCTGATTGTAATGAGATACCTCATTGTTTTGATGTAAAACTCTCTTTTCTCATTCACCTGGAGGGTCCTTATTGAAATCTGTAGCCATTGCCTTGAAAAGGACTCTTTTCAAGCTCTTTAACATAGTAGACTTGTTACTTCTGGTGTTTGTGGACACCATAACTATTTTTTTTCTTAAATTTATGACTAAGAAGAAGCTTTGGAACACTAGAAAGTTTAGTTCTAATTTATTCAAATATCTCTTCCATTCTGCCAGGAGGTGTCCTTTTTCGTACATCAAGCTGTCTTCGTGCTAGATGTACTCGTAGATCTTAGTCACCATTGTCATAGGTGACATCTGTACTTGTGTCCACAGGGGTTCGTTGTACTTACGATATATCCACTGTTGTTATCCACAAGCGGCTCGTGTATATTTGCGGGAGACCGTTGTATTCACTACGACCTCTTAGAAATGCTCGTAGGAGAGCCATTTGCACAAGTATCATATCCACCTTTCACCAATCTCTGGTGGTTTGATATACTTGTTTGCAAGGACAAATCTTCCGCCATCAAGTGGTAGTATTGCCATCTCAATATATAGGCATTGTTGCTAGTGTTGGAGGTTTCAATAGTGCATATAGGACACACGTATGCATTCTATAGCCATTTGTTGTTCTTGCAGATATGGCGCATTTAACCTCAAAGGGACTTGTATGTGCTTCAAATATGTTGCAATCATCTTTCGCAAGCATCGGGGTTTCACCTCCCACTTGCAACTTGTTGTTATCTTGGATGACCGTACATTTAGACTTTGGTTTGTTCGTTCATCCAAAGCCCAGTCTTATGTATTTCATCAAGGTTCCCTATCATTCATGTTGCTAAAGTCCCTTGCGACCGGACTCGAGTTCAAATTCCACTTGAAATTGTACATTTTGAGTTCAAAGTTCAAGCTCAAGTCCTTGTTCAAAGTCTTGTTCATCTTATTTGATATCCAAATCAAATGCAAGACCGAGTCCATTGTTGTCCTTAAAAGTTCAAGTTCTTTATTGTTCATGTCAAGTTTGGATCCAACTTGAGTTTAGTTTGAGTTCCTTGTTCTCCACATCTTGTTCCAATTTTGAGTTCAGAGTACAAGTTCAAGTGGTCTCGTTTAATTCATTTCATTTTCAAATTGAGTTCAAGTCTAAGTTCACTCGAGTCTGAGTTAGGTGCACAAGTTCACATGTCCCTTGTATTCAATCCGGTTCGAGTTCAAAGTACATGTTTAAGTGCTCGTTCAGGGTCTTCTGAAGTCCTTGCAAGTTCAATTTCATGTTCACTTGATATGAATTTAGTTCTAGTTTGATTT